CCCCCCGGCACCGGCAGCTCATCCCCACGCCCTGCGGGCCCGTGAGTACACCGCCCCGGAGAGGGCCTCGCTTCCCCCGGCCGCGGGGCTGCCGGTGCCGCAGCGCGGCCCTCCCCCGCTCCCTTGCTTCCCAAGAGTTGGGTTTTGCCGAAATAAAACCGTGCGTTCAAAGAGCGGACATGTAATTCATCAAAACCCCCCGCGTGTACCCAAATTACGAGTAACCTTACCGGGTCCGTGTCGAAAGCGGGGCGATCCCGAGCGGTGCGGCGGCCCAGCCGGCCTCCCGGCGCCCCCGCCCCCCTGCCTCCCTGGTTGCGGCTGCCTGGGACGAACGGAAAGAAAACCCATCTCTTACGCGTCGCGCAAATCCTTCGCACGTTGCTTGGAAGCGTGAACCTTTCTTTACAATTTTCTAAATCTAAAAATCTCGATACGGGGTCCTGGGAGAAAGTTACTTGCTGAAGATCGCTACGTTTTGATAGGCGTGTATGTGGGCACCGGCAGCCTCGATTTCAGGAGATGAAATTGTAACACCGTGGGCCTTGTGAAGCACTGAGAAAAGGCAGGCTGCAGGTACAAACCAGAAAAATCTAGACCGAGATTAATTACAAAATAAAGTCAGAGTTCTCCCTTCCTAAGCAGTTTTGGAGTTTCAATTCAGTTGTAAAGAGTTTCTCTTCCTTTTCCCAAGGAAAAGCCTGCACTTGTGTCATTTAGCCAGCTTGCTTTAATGCGTTTCTTAGGAACGGCAACTATCTTCTACTGCCTTGTGTTTAAAACTTTTCTTCCCTTACAGATAAAACCTTGTTCAGAGCTGTCATTTCCTGTGAAGATCTACTTCTGCGTCACTATTTTGTCTCTACTAAGTGTCATAGGGCTAACCATAGAGACACTCGTTCAACAAACTGAGGAAGATTTCACCATTTCTCTTATTCAGTTAGTTGGAGTTGGTAAGAAGCATACCATTTGTATTTTAAAACAAATATGTTTTTTCCCAAAGCAGTAATTCAGCAGCAACTGAAGTTTCTTATTTCACTCCATTTGGCCTGATAGGTCACACATAGAATCTTCTGCGAGTTGAGCACTAACAAGCTAGATGCTTTTGCCGTTATTGCTTTTTCCAGTAGTATTTTAAGGAAAGGATCAATAATAGATACGGTGTCATCCAGAATACACTCATGTGTGAATAGTGTGAAAGAGCATTCAGATTTTAGGAAGTTTTGCTATAATTGGCTTTCTTATGGTGTTTCGTTAGGCAGATGTGGCAGTGATTTTGCTTTCAGACAGCTGTCACTATGTAAGATACACTGAACATTCTGCTATGCCAGGAAGAGCTTACCGTTTCCCATTTTAATGTCTGTGCCGTAACATGCTGGGGAATTCAGAGGCGTCCACGCTCCAAGGCTGTCATAGAACGTACATCTCCTGACACGAGCTGTGCTTATACCCGAGTTGTACTTGGTTTCAAGGCACCATCTCACATTGCGAGAAACCAAACATACACAGTTTGATCTGAAACAAGAAAATGTTAAGTCATTTCTCTGTGTTAAGTTCCTGCAAAGGATGTTGCTTCACCTGAAGTATTTTAATAAAAGAAAATAAGGACCTCATTTCTTTTAAAGCTCTCTTTTTTTTTTTTCTCTAATAATTTTTGTCCCACTGGAAGCAAAATCCAAACTTCCTTGGATATTTCCAATTAGAGCTTCAATAGAAACTTATGTTCGTATTCCTGTGTCCATTTGTATTAAATAGAAATGAAACTTAACATGAAAATAAATACAACTGTAAGTATTTTGGGAAGTCCTCTTCAGTGGCTTTAGCAGGTTTTGGCTGTTGGCTCACTGGCCAAAACAGCGTAGAAAAGAATAGACTCTGTGGGTGTAACACCTCGTGTACGAGAGGGACACGCTAATCATAAGCAGTCATTGCTTTCCAGCTTTCATGCTTTCACCCGGAGGGAACAAAGACAATAGATTTGTTCCAGATTCTATAATTAGACACAGACAAACAATACCTTTATTCCAAAACTCTGGTTTGATTAGCAGCTTTTTCACACAAGACTCAGCATACCAACAAAAATTGCAATGTTAGAACAGACCACTGGTGCCTCCGATCTGTCACACTCTTTTTGTTAGCAACCACTGTTTTGTGCTTCAGAGAAAAATGAAGAACCTTCATAATAAACCAGATGAATCACAGGATGTTATAAATGGGGAAGCTGAAAGCAAGCTTGCTCATCTATTTTTTCCCCCTCCTACCTTCTGTTGATACTAATTAGTATTATATGCCGCAACACACACACGGGAAGAAGTGCACGCCTCTCACAAACCTCTGGTTTAAATCAGGAAAAATAGTGTGTTTTTAACGTATTACTTCAGATTTCAAAGTTTTAATGTAAACAAAAGTTGTTTCAACATATTAGTAAAGATAACATCATTCAAGGAACACGTTAAAACCATTACTGGCTTACCTTGAGATTTTAAGATGTGTAAGCTAACCTACATAAACAAGCCCAAACCATATGTTTTCCATAGGGTAGACAAAGACTGACAGAACTGATAATCGTTCTTTAAAGAAAAATAGATGCCTGGGCTGTAACAATCTCTCGGATTTACCACTAGAGATACTTACTTTAAAGAGGGTTTGGGATTTAATTTGTTGAAAATTGTTCACTTACCAGAGGGTGTCCTTTATTTCAGAAATGCGATAACATATGCTATCTCTGCAGAAATCTTAATGCTCGGAAAAAAGTTTGTTTTCAAATTATTTGTACAGACGACTTCTGATTTAGCAGCAGAATTTGCAAAACAAGGAAACGCTGTCTTAAATCTTTTAGGTCTTCCTGAGGTCATAAGCATGGAAAAAAACTGCATGATTCACTTTGTAATTTGCCAGTCATTTTCAGTTTTCTCGATCGCCGTTAATATAAGTGAGAAGGAAGTTTGTTCACGAGAAGGTTTGTTTAGAGAGACTGAAGTTACTGTATTACTTTGAAAGCTTCTACAACGCTTTGTCCCCATGTCCCGACCTAACAAAAGTAGATTATTTGATGTGCGGAATCCAGGAAGTAGCCCTCTGGAAAAAGAAATCTGTTGGTACTTTGTCCATGGTAAGAATTAACTAGTGTTTGCAGGAGCATCCTATATAAGAACAAAGCACTGATTCCTGTTTTTATGAAAGGAAAGCCTTTTCCTTATTCAAGCATTGTCAAAACAGATGTGTAGAGTTCAACAGTGACAGCTAGCTGTGGTGGTAAGAATGGTGGGGTTTGATGTATTTTACAGAAACATAACTCAGAACTTTCCAGAACCAGCTCTTTTCTGGACTACAGTTTGCGGGATGGGGTGTCTCAAAATTTCCACAACAAAAATAAACTGTTGGGAATCCAGCCTAAGTTCGCTTCACCACACAAGCCATTTGTAGTGGTCAGAACCACACAAACAATACTGTAGGGGTAGGTGTAAGAGTAGTAAATTCCTCGTTACTCACTTGAATTACTCTCACTGGGAAGATTATGTAATTTCAGTTCTTCAGTAAAAACGGTGTTGCTTCATTTAATTCAAACACACTATGCAACGTAGTGTTCAATATAGTATTAACAGAACAACATACCACAGCTGTCGGTTAATTTCGATAGCTAATACGTTGCCATTTTCAAAGTGTTACTTCACAAGTAATTTAAAAATCTAACAAATTATTTCATTTCTTGTATGCTAAACACAGGAGAATGCACATTTTAAGTATCTGATTCAGGCTCCTTGGTAAGAATAAAGATATGCTCTTGACTGAGGAGCCTAAGTTACAGGGTCTTGATACTTCCATTTTGTCACCTGGATCAAGCATATTGAAAAATTGCACTACGTGCAATCTGCGTTCACCTGGTAACTGACCTTTCCTTCTCCTTCCCAGTGTTCTGTGTATACTATGTGACTAGAGGAATCCTGCAGGAGAATCGCCAGGAGCTCATCGTCTTTGTTCTTTCCATCTTGCTAGTGATGTTTCGTTCCATTGTCAACTTCACAGTTCTCTCTGCTGAGCAAAAGCCGAAACTCCTGGTTAGTCTCCTGGCTTTAACTTTGCTTTTCTCCACATCTTGGATTTGAAAATCTTAGAAAGGCAAGATATCTGTGATAAGGGCAGTGATAACAGAGAAAAATCAGGCTGAATTATTCCTACCATTGAATAACAAAATGTGCACCTCCACAATTGCAAATCTGTTTCTCTGAGCTATTCTATGGGTTTCTTTATGGCAGTATCTGAAAGTAACATAAATATCAAAGTATTTTACTCACGTAGGATTACCACAGAAGATATCCTTCACTTCGCCTACTCTGCCTCAGATTTCCAGCTATAAAACGTGGCCTAAAGTCACATAAGTCTAGCCTACGAACAGAACTGGAATCTCAAGTCTATACGCACATAGCCGTTAGCCCCACTGCTCCATAAATGCGGCAGTGTGTTTTAATTTAAGAGCGTTATGGTAACCTGCTGCAAGGAAACAAAAAGATACCATGTGCTAGGGGAGGTACTGCCATTCCGGATTATCTTGTTTGCATTTCTAACAATAAAATGTCATAGGAGGATTATATTCTATGCAATACTAAGATTTGTAGTTAAACTTCCGTTTGCCGTGCTTCTCAGAAGTCCCTCCCTTTTGTGGCTGCACATTCATCACGAACATGAGAAGGAGGTTCCTTGCTGTAAAGTCATCCAAAAATTATTCTTTGATAGAAGAGATGGCAACCAAGCTAGGAAGACGCAGCAAAGCAGAATTTGCCTATTCAATTTACATATCAATTGTACATTTAGTTAAACATACTTATTTCCAGCAAACTGGGTTGTTAGGGTCAGTAAGGAACAGGCATCAGAGAGATGCAGATTACTTTAAGGTATGCATCCCAGTCATCAGTTTATATATTAAACATGAACCTCGAAGTCAAGGCTGGTGTAGAAGAGGCACTATTGAGGACTCATTTTTACTGCTATAAAAGTAACTTGGATTACTGTAACTCCTACTTCCTAAGCAAAATTTCTGAGTCAGAATAAGGCATACTAGCATAAATATTCTCATATCAATGTAATTATGAAGGATGTTTTGCCACTTCAGCCATCTTTAAAGCAGCAGACATTTAGTGTGAATGCCAGCAAAGTTGTGGATACAACCCAGACAAAACCAATGTTTTCTGAAATCTAGTAAGTACAGCATTCAGAATAACCCACTGGACTCAGTGGGGAAGATTCTTACCAGTTGGTTTATGCCACACAGGAGGCTTAGAGCCAGCCTCTGTCAAAGGAAGCTACTGCTTCAAACTATGATAAAACCTCCAGCAAAACCTTGCTGAAATTTGTCACCATATTACAGGGAGCGCAACGGTTCTGGTTCTCTTAACAGCTGTAAAACTACTACATTGAGGGTAATGTAAACCAAAATAGCCAATGTGAGTTTGCAGTTATTACCAAGTGGTTGCACAAATGCCAAAAATCACGGCCTGATCTTTGCCACTTAACAGTGTGGCAAACTGTCGTCTTTAATTGTTGTCTATTTAAAATGCTATTAATAGGCAGCCTGGTTCTCCTTATTCCTTTACTCTTTTATTACCAGTTAGAAGATTTAAAGACTCTCCCTGTTTTGGCATGGCCAGTCACATCCTTATTTCTTTTTCCCATCAGGCCCGCTTCATTCTGATCCTTTTGGTTGGCTCCTTTGATGTGATCTGTGCCATCATCCTCATTCAGAGTCAAAGCATGATGGCCTTTCGAGTGGGTGGTGCTCTAGAAAGCCTACAGTCACAATACTTCATGCTGAACCTCTGTTTTTCCATGTTGACCTTTGATCTTCAGGCGCAGGTATAGAACTCTCTCCCCTGGGTTCCCTTTTTTCCTTCCTGTTGAGAATATCTTAGAATGAGACTTGCTGAGCTGAAATGTTAACTTCCTAGAGCAATCCTGCCTGTGTCTTACCGTTTAGATAAGATTAGCTTAATAATGGTCATCTCTCCAGGTGTTTGCTATAGGGAAGCTTAGTTAAAATCCATAAAAATGAATCAGCATGTATTTTATCACTGTCCTGCCCAAAGGGAAAACTGAATCTTATTTTTGGGAAGTATGTCCATAAAAACAATTGCATTCAGAAACTCCAACGCAACATGGCCTCCTAAAGTGAGAAAGATTAACATTGCACAACATCTCAGCCTACAGTCTCTTGCTTTCCAGCCATCCTAGCTGTCTCCTACATTTGAGAAAATGTTACTGGGATGGGAGAGGGGGGCCTGACCTAGCAGGGCAATCAGGGTGAGATAGCAACCTGCAGTCACAGGCAAGTGAAGGGAACCCAAGATCTGTTTAGAAAGAGTTTGTACTTCTGTACACTACCCTTCATTCCTACTTCACTACTGAATTACCCTGTATTACCTTACGCTTTATCTGGAGCACATCTTACTGCCTTCCCTGTTCTTTGTTGCTGCTAATGCAGTATACAGGGAAGTATGTCTGTCCTTGTGTCCCATTTTATACTGTCTGTCAGGTTTTGAGGAAAAATTTTAGCCTTTAGACCTGTGCCCAACTTACTGTTGCTGGGAGTTTGTGTCAAATATTTTTTGGTGGGCCGTATGGTCTCAAACTAATAATTTTACCAAATCTTTGCCTCTTCTCTTTCAGCTCTGCTTGTGTATTCTGCTGATAAGCCTGCATGAGATCACTCTTCTACATAACATCATCTCAGCAACAGGGGCTCTTTGGGCCTGCCTGAAGGTGACCATTAGCATCATCGCAGTAAGTCTTAAGCTAACAGCAACACTAGCAAGAATAGTCAACTTCTGAGACTACAAGATCTCACCCTGAGCAATTATCACAGGCTGGAAACTCACAGCCATCTCATTCTCTCTAATACTGCTAAGTGGAAGGGAGCCAGAATGGATCCCAGCAGAAAACAAGAGCACCACCAATAATGAAGTCAGGTTTCTTATAAATCTGTCTCTCAACTGAACATACGGGAAGAAACAACGTCACGCTACCATTATTCCTTTCTGAGGGACATTGTTTCATTCTGTCCTTGATCACCTACTTTAATGAAACCTGTAGGATCACAGTATGTTCAATATTTCTACCTCTCTGACAAGGTTAGGTGAAACTACCAACAGTCCTCCAAATTACTATGAAGATGGATCTACAGACACAGTGAGAGTGTATAGGCCTTATGTCCTTAGGAAACAACACCAGAAAGATGAGTGGTCCTTTACTGGGGCAGCTTCTTTAAAGGTGCGTGACAGTTTTCAGGTTATCGTAAGGATTTGTGAACTTGCAATGCAGTTTTTCATGTCAGTCAGACTGAACTTGCTCTGAAATTTTGAGAGCTGTTCCAAGAATGATTGCAGAATCAGGGCCAAAGTACATCAGACATGCGAGTCTTTTATTACCAGGAAGGACTTCAGGGAGTTTGGGGTTTGTTGTTTTTCCAGACTCCTTGGGTGTTTGCTTTAGCCATTCAGATAAATTCCTGACAGCTGAAATACAGCTTTCAAGTGTTTTGATTGCTTTCCTTGCTAAAAATGGAGCTAGCACTAAGCACTGTGTTTTTAAAATACTTCACTAACTTTAGGTGAATGGTTGCACAGAATCATCTTTCTTTCTCCTGGACTTTGGAGTGTTGTGGCCACTAACAGCTATCCATCAG